GTGTGTGTGTGTGTGTGTGTGTGTGAAGTATTGGTCAATGACATTTTTTTTTGTGGTTAGCCTTTTTCAAACACAATGGACACTTTTCACATGATATCAGACCACTGCTGCTCAAGAACTTCCACACTGTTCCAATGGGACTAACCAAACAAGTCACTGATGAAATTTAATTGTTTTATGTTTGAAAATGTGTGATCGTAACTTGGGCCCCACTCCAGCAAGCGAGCAATACAAACCACCGCGACTCAAGCAGTAAAAGCACAGCTCGACAGATTGAAAGCGGCGAGGAGCAACAAAACAATATGAGAAGGACTGAGCCTGGAGCGTTGCTTGCAGACTAGGTTTTTGAGAATGATGTGATACTCTGCGCAATGTTGCCACAACAGGTGATCAACGGGGTGAAAAAGAAATGCTGCTGCTCTTCCTTCACAAGTCCTGTTCTCAAGCGGGATGCCACATCCGTCACTCGCACGTTACTTGACTGGAGACGTTCACAACACATTTGTCATAATGTTACCGCAAATTTTATTAGTACTGTATGCCTCTTTTTTACGAATACGACCAATACATGCAATTGCTGAGCACGCTACTTGTGTGCTTTTCTCTTCCGTGACGCTTTTCTCAGTATAACTTGGCTATCATCACATGATTGCTTGGCGTTTTATCTCATTAACAAGTACAGAGAGTGGAAGTGAATAGATGGTAAAGTGATTGACAAGTGGTCTGATGTCACTATGAGGAGCTATTAGATTTTTTTGTGTGGACGTTTTGTCATCTAGAACCCAACGGTGAGTCTTTTTTTTTTTTCCACACCAAAAAAAAAAGGGCGGAAGGAGTCAACGGCAACGGAATTTTAAATAGGTGCAAACACGATATAATATATATTTGATTATGCACCGAGTAAAAGCAGCTTTGAGATACCCGGAATGGGAGTGATGCCCTTGTCCTTGAAAATGACCAGTACAAGTGCATTGTTTTACGATTGCAGAGCTGTCAAATAGAAGACTATTTTATTCATCTGGATCCAGAATTGAATCTTCCTTTAATCCTTTCTACCGTATTTTCCACACTAAAAGGTGCACCTAAAAGCCTTCCATTTTCTTAAAAGCTCACAGCGCGCCCTAAAATCCGATGCGCCTTGTGTATGGTCATTACGGTAATATGTCCACCCCCAAAAAGGCTCCTTGCTGGAGACGTGCAACAGAACGCGGAAATAGAATAGCGGCAAGAGAGTTCAGCGTTAACGAGTCAATGTTATAACTTGCTGTGCTGGTTCTGTGAATTGTGTCGCTGCTTTATTAAATGAGTTTTACTGACATTTGATCGTTCTGTAGCAACACCACTCAACACCTAAGCTGTTTAGCTGTTGTCTCTTGTTCAAAGCTTGTGTGACGTCGTTGCGTCGGCGCTGATTGGTTGAACTATGTGCGTACGTGCCCGCGCTCACGCGCGCGCAACAAAGAGTAGCGGACTATGGACTGCTGAGGCGCGCTTCACTCCAGTGGCATTTCCTTGAGCGTAGCTCCATCTAGTGGATGCATTGTAGATTGCGTCTTATAGTGCGGTGCGTCCAATATATGAAAAAAATTACAATATAGGCCATTCATCGAAGGTGCGCCTCATAATCCAGTGCACCTTTTAGCGTGGAAAATACGGTATTTCAATTCAACTAATGACTTATACGAAACCGATATATAGCTGCAGTATAACTCAATATGTTTGTTTTATACAAAAGCTCCCTTTCAATGCAACGCCATCTTCATTGTGAGTAATATAGATGGTCGTATCAATGGAAAAGCCTCAAGATGACTTCCCTTCATATCATAGATGATGCTGCACTAAGATACATTTTATGGAGTGGAGCAAAAAAGCAAAATAGTAGGGATGCACACACTTCGTAGCGATTTGTCTTTCGAGATAAACTGGAAATATTCCTCTCTGAAGTTGGTTCATAACTCGAGACTGTCACAAAAGAATTGCTTTGCCGGCTTCAGGGTTTTATGCCGAAAGAGTGTGAACACGCACATACATACACTCACTCCCCCTGAGCCCTAACCACCACAAGAAACAAGCAGGCACCAATCGGCTTGGATTAGACGAAAAGAGTATAAAGCATTGTAATTGGATCGCTTTTTATTATGACGGAGCTGGCTGCGGTGGTGCGCGAGTCCAATACAGGGTTGAAATGTGTATATAAGAGTGTTTTAACAGGAGTCTAATTGTGTGCATGTATAGAATTATTAAAAGGCTTAGAGCGGAAACAATCTTAGGAAGGGTTCCTCTCTGACCTGACGTCCAAAGCAGCGTCCCATCATCCCAGTGAGGATGCCTTAAATAAGGTCCCGGGTCCCTTTGGTTCCATCCCCACAGCCGCCGTTCGCGACTAAGCGGATTATTTCAGAGTGTACTTGGTGTGTGATTTTGGTACATCGGCAACCCTCGTGTCTGCAAAGAGATCGACGGGACTTTTCGAGATTGGTTTTTATCACGCTGGGCTGCGACGGCCAAGGCACAGTCTTGGAGGCGTTGGATGAAACCGACAAATGCTGTGTGTTCTGTGAACATTAGCGGCGCAGAGGCCGGCACGGGACAACGCTGCTATAAAGTTGCAACTTATTTTCAAACAAAAGAGTGACGTGTGTCAGCAGGGGTCGACAAGCACAGTATTTTTAAACATTTGTATAGAGTTCTATGACATTTTATAGAGATTATCTTGAAAAAGGTGTTCGGCACTGGTGTGTGGATTTGCCAAATACAGAAATATTAAATAGCTACGACCGTGGATATTATCATTTAGGGTTTTGTAAGAAGCAATATTTAATCTGAATGAATCTCCTTTGTTGTGTTTTAATTTTCCATTATAAAGTGACATATCACCTTCTGCTTACTTGTCTGTATTTCAACGAACTGTTGCCTAGATGCAATTTATCAACTCGTGGTAGATTTCGGCGATGTTGGCCAATCGAGTGACCACAAAAATCAGGTATTTTCTGACCGCCACTTGCCTAATCTGTCATTCTCGAAAAAAAATTCCTGCCTCAAGAGAGTGCAACCTGTGTATTGAAACAAATGGATATAAATCTGTACATTTTTAATATATATGTCTGCTGGCCAACTTAGTAGGGAACTAAAACAACTATGAACACGTACATAAAGGCCCCCCTTTTCTCCCCCAAAAACATAAAAAAAGAAAAAAAATCATTGTGGGTCAACAGGTCACCAAACCATGTTCTGTGTTGCAAATGTAGAGCCGAGTAGATGTTGTGAGAATCATTTGTTTAGGACAAACATGGCTCACCAAACCCACTTCCACTGCCGCCTTTGAATGCTGCTCCCACTATTCTCGTCGTTCAACATTTGGCGAACCCTTTCTGTCTTTTTCTAAACATATTTTGGTTCCATTATTAGATTTTATTCTTTGATTAAGTCTTGATCTAGACTAAGCTGTTTTTCAGTAATTTGTGAAAAGACTTGTGTTTATGGTTTTTTTTTCTATGTTGCTGTAATTTTGTGCTTCGAAAGTCATCATAGAATCAACTAATTACTGAAATGAATAGAGAGAATATTCCTGTAAGTGCACTCTTCATTCCCTCCCGCCCCCTCAAATCCTCAAGAATTCTTGTATGGCAACCAAAAGTCACTGTAAAAAATAAATAGAACATTGCACTAGTGTTGTTGTCCTCTCACTGCTTGCTTGTTTGTACGGGCATGTTACTGGGGCACTGCGCGCTGGCAACACAATGGGTTGGAGATAGAAGAGGTGACATAAAATATATTGTGTGGACCTGATCATTGATATTAATTTATAAATCTGTCCCATTTTCACACCTTGAAAAGCTTCATCTCTCCGAGTAATATTTTCTCTAAGTTTCTTGAGTAAATTGAGAGAGTTATCTATCCATCCATCCATTTTCTAATCCGCTTGTCCTCACAAGTGTCGCGGGGTGTGCTGGAGCCTATCCCAGCTGTCTTTGGTCAACAAGTGGGGGACACCCTGAACTGGTTGCCAACCAATCACAAGGCACACATAGACACAACCATTCGCACTCATACCGAAGGACAATTTAGAGTGTTCAATCAGCCTGCCATGGATGTTGTTGGAATGTGGGAGGAAACCGGAGTACCCGGAGAAAACCCACACAGGCACGGGGAGAACATGCAAATTCCACACAGGAAGGCCAAAGCCGGAATTGAACCCTGCACCTATGCACTGTGAGGCGGATGTGCTAACTACCTAGTCGCCCACTGTGCCGCCTAGTATTGAAACAATACAGTAAATATTCTCTAGTGCGGACTCGTGTTTGCGCTGTCCAATTTGTCCTGATAACAGAAATTCCTCATTTGGGAAATGAGCATGGTACATGTCCTTTATGAACCTGCAAGTATGTTGACAAAAATGCACTTGTAACAACACAATCAATAAAATACAAAAATAATATACTGTCCAAAAACTGTTTACATAACAAAAACTGCAATACAGGTGTATCCCAAAAAAATCACAACAGTAAAATACGTACAGTATTTTAATGTTTATTTTTTTTCTGTCTTGCGAAAAAAACGTGTCTATTTTGGATTGTTTTGTTGGATGCATTCTTTGGTTTATGACAATGTTTGCCTGCGTGTCATACAGTTTTCTTGCTAGGTGCAAGTAACTGTCCCGTTGATCACCGATGTCTGCTGATTCTTGTGCATACTGAAGGATTTTTGTTGCCATTGATTGGCATTGCTTCCTTGCTGGATGGTGGCTTGTCATCAGGAGTTGAATCGATGCCTTGTTTTTGAAAGTTTCGTAGCTTTGCATCTTTCCGACTCCCAAGTGTCTCCTGGATGCTTTTTACTTTGTGTCCAGCCTCGCTCAAACGGATACATTTCACTCGCTCCGTTTCAGTCATGACAGTTCTTCTACGTTTCGATGCCATGATCTACAGGACGCAAGTGAATAAAGTTAAATTTTTTTCGCAATTATAGTAAAACGCACGGCAATAAAAAGTCACTTACACGTCGTCGTTTCAAATCTGATGAATGAAAACGGCGAAGCGCACGGTTCCTCCGTCGTGTGTAGTGGGCGCTGCTTTTTAAGCTAGTGCCGGTGATCGACGGGACGTAAGTGAATAAAGTTAAAATCATTCACAATCACAATAAAACGCACGGCAATAAAAAGTCACTTACACGTCGTCGTTTCGGATCTGATGAATGAAAACGGCGAAGCGAACACATTTCTTCAGTTGTGTGGAGTGGGCACTGTTTTTTAAGCTAGTGCCGCGATCTACGGGACATAAGTGAATAAAGTTAAAATCTTTCGAAATTAGAGTGAAACGCCAATAAAAAGTCACTTACACGTCGTCGTTTCTGATCTGATGATCGAAAAATGCGAAATGAAAACGTGTCTTTCCGTAGCAACGGGTGGGCGTTGCGTGTATTTCAGCTCCCGCGGCATTTTTTTTTTTTTTTTACCTGTTTATGTTAATTGGATACTACTTCGCGGATTTTCGTTTATCACGGGTGGTTTTGGTCCCCATTAACCGCGATAAACGAGGGATTACTGTACCTGTAATACCATAGTGTGTTTTGGCTCGGTGGTCGACTGGTTAGTGCTGAGGTCGGCAACACGCGGCTTTCGAGCCGTATGATGCTCTTTAGCGCCCCCAGTGGCTCCCTCGAGCTTTTTCAAAAATGTTTGAAAATGGCAAAAGATGGGAGGGAAATATATTTTTTTGTTTTAATATGGTTTCTTTCAGAGGACAAACATGACACAAACATTATTAACGTTTTCCGATGCTGTCAAAATGTGTCGAATAAATATGAAATATCAACATTTCGCAACGAATATTTGCGTCATAGCCTGCGACACACATTTCTATTCGCAGGACAGGATGTCAGTCAGGAGGCTGTTGTAAAATGCCGTTCATGTACAATTCACTGAGGGTACTTGCTAAGAATGGGAATCTGGGCGGCCAAGAGAAGCATTTTTAAACGGTACACGTGAGCTACGATAGTGAGCACGCTGCGAAAGTGCGTCCCGTGCCTCGTTCATCTCAGCAGCCGTTATGGCTGTCGCTCATTACGGCATGTGCGTGTAAGTGTGTGCGTATGCGCGTGTGTACGGTAACCGGTCGATCACAGGAGGATGGTTGTTCAAAAAGTTGATCTTCCGTCAAAAAAGTTTGGGCACCCCTCCTCTACAGGATGAACTGCAGGGGGAAAAAGCTTTTAATCATGAATGCTCGTTGTGTATTTGTAGCCAACTTAGTCATGTTGATAGCAGGCTAATATAGCTCATATAGATACATACAGCATGTGTTGCCTTCATTATAAGGCTTTTTATTTTTTGCGGCTCCAGTAGTATATTTTGGTCCAATATGACTCTTTCAACATTTTGGGTTGTTGACCCCTGGGTTAGTGCGTCGACCTCACAGTGCAGAGGTGCAGGGTTCGATTCCAGCTCAGGCCTCCCTGTGTGGAGTTTGGATTTTCTCCCGGTGCCTGCGTGGGTTTTCTCCAGGTACTCCGGTTTCCTCCCACATTCCAAAAACAAAAATGGCAGGTTAATGTAACACTATAAAATGTCCATAGGTGCGAGTGTGAGCGCGAATGGCTGTTTATCTGTGTGTGCCCTGCGACTGGCTGGCAACCAGTTCAGGGTGTGCCCTGCCTACTGCCCAAAGACAGCTGGGATAGGTTCCAGCACCCCCGCGACCCTTGTGAGGATAAAGCGGATCGGAAAACGGATGTATCTACAACATAAAAAAAAAGAAAGGCCAGCTCATTTCTGTTCAATGGACACGGCAACACTGCCTCCTAGCGGTCAGAAAATATGTGGCTTTGCAACACGTGAATGTTGCGTTTCCGCTGATCCACAAACGCACATTCGACAATTCACACACAGTCATGATAAAAGCAGATATAACATTATAAAAAAAAAACATAAAAATCGCAAATATATTTTTGTGGATGCATTTCTCTCAATGATTTTGAGACAGATCTCTCCTCATCGACAACGTCAGCACAGGTGGACTTACCCTCTTTCCTGAAAACAAGGACACAACAATGCAAACACAACTTTCTCGTTCTAAAAAGAAAGTTTCTAATTAGAAACTTTCTTATTAAAGCGAGGTTTCCTAATGAGAAACATGTTTTCACTTTCGCGATTTTCAAATACAGTAATTGTGTTAAAAAAAAAAGGAAACAAATACAGGAAACGTTTTTTGATTAGGTTGCAGTTTTTCAGTTACCGCGAACCTTTAAATTTTTGACTAAATGTAAAAAATGGCATGTATAATGCATCGATCAAAACTATTTTGCTCTTTTCATTCCATAAATTCAAAACTAGGCATGATGAAAAATTTAGAGCACCATTTACCATTAAAATATTTATCTGTCATCATTAACATTAATATTATTGTAAATGGGGTAAAATTATGCAGTTTAAACACTGGGCTAAAATATATGTGTATATAATATATACAGACGAAATACTGTATGTCAAATAATTATGGATGTTCAAGTTGTCCTAAATATGAAAAGACACGGCCAGTGAGAGGGCTAGCTCAGGACTTTTTACTTTACCTGGTAAAAGCAAATAAACTGTAATTCCAACAAAGGACAATAGTTCTCCACCTCTCTAAATAACAAATCATTACAGCTTCAAATGCTGACCTTATTTGGAGAATGCAGCTTTCCTATCTAAATGGCTGCATTGGAAACAACAGATACTTGCAACTTGTGAATGTCAAACATTTTCTCCTACAACCTTGATATAGTCCGAACCTGTAATCAAAGTAATAACATACAGTATACACCATTGTACAATAAATGTCTTTATTGGCGAAAAAAAAAAAAAACAGGGCTGATGTAACTCAAGCAGAAGTACAGAAAAAAAATCTTTTGAAAAGGTCACTTTATTATAAAACCCCAAAAGATGCAAAAGAATAAAATTTCTCGCAGGCATGCGCTCACCAATGTATGCACGCACACGTGCGCACTCACACACTCTCACACACACACACACACACACACACACACACACACACACACACACACACACACGCACACGCACACCCTATTTACGCTACACAACCAACCAGCAGCCTGTTAACAAATATGTAGTGCTTGGAGAGAACATTCCAATAACAATTTGATATGATACCTCCACTGCAGGCAAACTTTTTTTTTTCTTCCTTACTGAGCTGGACACGTTTAGTCACCATGTTAGTAATTCTCCTGAACAGTGACACAGCCACACCTAATGCCAAGACACAAGGCGCAAGATTTTGGACACATACAACTCCACAAGACGTGTCCACATCCAAAACAAACAAAAACAGCAACCCGCAACGGAACATAAAACATTTTTAACCCGACCGTCTCTCTAAGCATCATAACACTTGATCTCTCTGCGCAATTCAATGCGATCAACAATAATCAACAGTGAGCTGTCGTGTAGTGTTGAGTTTGTGATTTGCCCAAGTGTACATTTAGATGAATGTCCCCTGAAACCAGTGAACAGCTCAAAGATCAAAACCTGTATGACTGTGTCCAATGATGGTGGACTAAAACAGATTTGTATGCTGCATTAATTTACAAACAAAGCTTCAGGTTTTTATGCAATATCAAAATTGGGTGCAATGAAAGTAACAGCACAAGCAAGGAAATGTAGACCAAGGAGGTACAAGGGGTTATCGTCAAATTGTTTTGGTCCCTGCTGGGGGTACTGGACAGGCCGTAATTCCTATACAGTTACCCCCTTAATATTTCCCTCATGCTCATTTTTGTGAACACACAGGTCTTTGGTAAAACTAATCTTAATGGGTGCAGTACCTTTTGATCTCGATATACAAAGTGTGGAAAATGCATCAGGGTTTTGGTTTTGTTTTTTTGTTTTTTTTTTTGCTGTTGGAGATCAATGCAGCCAAAGCTTGAACTTTTTTTGGCCTACAATTTTTACTTTCATATTCTCCAGGAGTTGAGTCATTCTAAGGTAAGAGTGTGCTTCACTCAAAGGAACGAAGTCAATGTAAAAACAAAAAACAAAAACAAATGCAAACGCAAATACTTGAGGTGTTGATGGAAAAAGGCGCAGAGCAGAAGAATGCTGATTTAAAGATGTCTTGCACAGTGTTGGAGCACTCCGAAATTAAAAGGAGAGAAAATAGACTAAAGCATGAGAAAAATCGAAGTTGACAGCCTCTCCTTTGTGGGCAGGGTGACATCATTGCCGAACTTCAACGTAATTGGCGGGGAAGAGACCATAAGCCCCTCTGCAAACGCCACGCCACCAGCCCTCATCGATCATCTCAATGTTGGTGATGATGTCATCGGGGTCAAAGGAGATCTCATCTTCCCCAGCTGAAACGGGAAGTTCTCATTGGTCATGAACGTAGACACAAATAAACTGCAGCTGAGATGCAGAAATAAGAATCAAGTAATTAAATCCAACATCTCAAGCATTGCTGCTATCTTATCCTATGAAGATGGAACAAAGTTTCCATGATGAATGCATCGTAGAAAGGGTTCTGTCAGTCATCATCTGTACCTGTGGGTAAAAA